ACTGCTCTAATGACATGTTAGAATTATATGACTAACATGTCTAAAAGATTAGATTTTCAAAACAAAGCTCCACAATATTAATATGTCAATCAATTAATTGTGCTGGCACAGCGAGCTGTGTGCATTTAATGTCAGCTAGCTAGGTGATGCATATATATCGCTACTTGAAGATGGGATATAGATTAATTTCAAACTATATTATTGAGCCATTTATTAGACGCAGATATTAATGTCTCAACTGCCTAATAAATGGCGACCAACATACTAGTTATCTTCAAAAAGATTACTACTATACTATTTCTATTTATTAGTCGTTGTCTTAAATGGGACTAGCCAGTAGCTTAAAGATTACTACTCCCTTCGGTCCAAAATAAGTGATTTTTTAGCTGTTTTTACACAGATTAAGAAATCCACCTTTTAACATAAATTAGCAATGAAATTGACCATATTAACATTTACTATCTCTTTATACAAATACTCCTAACACATATTCCAACACTATTTACTCCAAGGGCAATGTAGGAAAAAAATAATTAATTCATTCTTGAAATCTGGAAAAATCACTTATTTTGGACCACAAAAAAAGGCCAAAAAATCATTTACTTTGGACCGGATGGAGTACTACATTTTTTCGGTTATTTTTACACATTAAAAAATTTACCTTTTAGTATTAATTAACAAAGACCATATTAATCTTAATTTATTCGTTAAAAATATAATAGATACTTAGAGACTTTTTATCCCAAGGGCAACTTCGAAAAAAATAAGTTAAACTCCTTTTATATATTGAAAAAATCAAATATTGCATACCAGTATCTTAATTGGCGAAAGATGCATTTTCCCCCTTTTCATTAGGTTGGTCAAGTCTTTGGGTAATAAGTGAACAAGAGATTTCTATAAAGACCAGAAACTACACTAATATTTTTCTCATTTGTGTCAGTTTGATTTCTAGAAAATTATGCTTCATTTAAATAAGCTCTTCTCTCATAAAAGTAAATAAATTTGAGAAAGATTATACACGATAGTCCGGATGTCATAATCCTTGTTGTGTCCATGTCACATGTAGGTTTGTACTGAAGATACAGAAGACACCATAGCTCGTGAAATTCGACATTTTATGACTTGATTTAGAGTTAACTTTTTGATCCTACGTTACTCCTTAAAAAGAACAACAGAATACGAAATACTATGCATTTGTAATAAAAATTAAATTCATGTACTCTGGTCATCCTAGCCCTTATTTTTTTTTTCCCCTATGACCGATATCTAAGTTATTTGTATTTTCACTTAATTCGAAAGCGTCAACAGTCATGGGAAATTAATAGTCTGTTCGGCCAAGTCGGAAAAATCAGCTTATTTTGAAAAGTTATTTTGAAAAAAGTACTTTTGGAGAGAAATAGTTTGTGTTTTGCTAATCACTCTAAAAAGTACTTTTAAACAATAATTTGTATTTGGACAAACTTTTCAAAAAGTACTTTTAAGTATCAATTAACCAATAAGGACATGATAAATTTACTTAATAGTTAATATTATAGGTAAAAAATTAATCTAAAAAAAAATTCTATTAAAGACAATAACTAAATCTTTTTATTTTATTTAAGTAAAATATGAAAAAAAAATTAAAAAGTACTTTAATTCTTTTAAGATGATTTAAATATATTAAAAATTATTCAACAAATATAAAAGCATTCACCCCTAAAGTCACTATATATATTAGAACGTTATCCTAAAAATAAGAAGAAGTACTTATACATTAATATCCCAAGTATTATGTTTAAAATAAATAAGGTTATTTTGGTATATACTATATTTTATTAAGGGTATTTTTGGTAAGAAGAAAAGTCAAAACTTCTTCTGCTTCTGCTTTTGGAAAGAAGCTAGTTTTTTATGTTTCACAGAACCTGCTTCTCCCAAAATCACTTTTTTTCCCAAAACAATCTTGGTCAAACACCTTAAGTTGAGAAAAAATAAGTATTTTTGGGAAAAAAATATTTTTGACCTTTGGAGAAGCTTGATCAAACAGTCTATAAGACGAGATGTACAGTAACTATTAGCACTAGCCCAGACAAGCATGAACGTGCTTATTATCTTAATTTCATAGCTATATACTCCGTATAATTTGAGACGGAGGAAGTAACATATAACCCACAAAAATAATTACCCTATATCATGTATGATTTTCTATTCATACCGTTGGGCGTTCATTAGGATACATAACGAATCATCCTAGTCAGTCGATGGTAACTCTCACATTAAACAATGTAAAAATGAAAAATTTATTTAGTAGAACCATAATTTCTAAAGGTAATTAAGTTTTGAATTGGATGACCATATTCTCAACTAAAAACTTAGCAATTAGAGAGATCTAGCTAAGTTGTATTTATTTCATTATCTAACACGCCTTCTCATGTATTAATATAATTTTTTTGTGAGCCAAGCATGTGAATTTATTCTAAATTTGAATGATAGCGAAATTCGAACCCAATAACTCTATCTAATCCAATATCATATATATTGAATTATGCGACCATTTCATCGAAAAATTTATATAATCAGAGATTTCGGTTTTATTTACTTAATTATGTATTTAACAAACTATACATTTCGCAGGTGTATCTATCAAGAAGAAGATAGCCAACGTTACAAGGGGCTAAGGATTAGCAAAGATTTAGTAGAAGTTGGAGGAGATGCTTTGAAAACCAACATTACCACATTAGGCCCTTTGGTTCTACCTTTATCAGAACAACTCTTTTTCTTTGGAAACCTAATTTGGAGGCACTTATTTGGCAATAAAAATAATAATGCCAAAGGAAATTCCAATTCCCAACTGGCCAATAAGCCCTATATTCCAGACTACAAACTCGCCTTCGAGCACTTTTGTTTTTATGCAGCCAGCAAAACTGTCCTTAATGAGCTTCAAAGGAACTTAGAGCTGAGTGAGAATAATATGGAAGCTTCTCGGGCCACACTGCACCGATTTGGTAATACTGAATTGTGTGACTATATCTTATCTAAAAGCTTAATTAAACGACTGTTATAAAAAAGAATGTTTCTAATTACTTAATTATATTATGTCTTCAACAGGTAACACGTCTAGTAGCAGCATTTGGTACGAGCTAGCTTATTTGGAGGCTAAGGAGAAAATTACGAGAGGCGATCGTGTGTGGCAAATTGCTTTTGGATCAGGTTTTAAGTGTAATAGTGCTGTTTGGAAAGCCATTCGCCGTGTTAAAAAGCCTTCAACAAATCCTTGGATTGATTGCGTTGATATGTACCCTCAGTCTCTCACACAGTAAGTGTGGATTTTCATGAAAGATTTGGAGTTACAAGATGGAGATCTTGAATGAATGACTATATAAATGTATAGTCAAGAATATTGGTTATTATAATTAAGTTGATTTTGTGGAAAGGATTAACAAACATATATATAGCTTCTTTCCAATATAAATTTTGGCCTTGGCCTTTAGATATGATGTTCACCTTAATCTTCAAGAATTGATCTTTATTACATCATTATTATAAGTGATGGTCATGCAAATATAGAGAGCATATCTTTCATATTCTCGACAATTTGTGTAATAAATGTATTATGAACATTACACTTTGCTGATCGATAAACAAATATTTTATGTATTATTCTTGTTTGTATTTCTTTGTTTATCTCTTTTTTTTCTTCTCATTTTGTATTTGTTGAGACATAATTAAGAAAAGGCGTGAGCTTTATTTTGTCATATGGGTGTAAATGGACCAATCTCCATATATCGCACAATATATATATATATATAATATATATATATTCAGTCTCTGTTGCCCGGTAAAATTCTAAATTATGGTTCCCTTACAGAAAAAATAATGGTCCAAATTAATTATCAGCCACAATCCAGCTACATATGCCGTATGAAACAAAATAACAAATTACATCTTTGATTACCTATACTCAACAAAGTTTTCCACATACAGCTAGCACCACATAGCTTGATTAATTCCCCATTTTTCCTTCTAATTTCCCAAAGTATAAGTTCAATTGCTGTTTCAAAACACACAACCAGTACTACAACTCTTTAAAAAAAAAAAAAAGGAGGAAAACCCAGAAATAGCCAATCAGAATCTCATCATTATTTTTCTTGTTTTTACATTTCTTCAACCTTTGACCAAAACCAAATATTAAAAAATTATTCTACCGATTTCGCCCTTTTTGGAAGTGCATGGAAATTAAAAAAGCTTGAAACTGAAAAGGCAAATATACTAGCACCACGCAATAGCAGGTAGTATTTTGCCGATAAAAAGGTTATATATAAACTCTCCTTAAGCTCAACAGCTTAAGATATATAAATTAAATACTCCTCAACTTTTTGATTATATATGGGTAATATGGAAGAGCTAAAAGTTCATCTTAGATCATCAGATGTTCTATTTAAATATTCACAATCTATGGAACATGTGATAAAGAAGACAAAATGGCCTGGAAATTTGTGTAACACTGCTCTTAGAGATGTTGAAGATTCAGTCTTTGTTAGGAGTACTATAATTTGGAGGAAATTCAAGAATCTACTATTGGTTGTTCATGATGTTATTCTTTTACCATCATTTTGAGATTGAAGCTGCAAGAAAGCTTAAGAATTGCCCTAGAAAATGTAGTATATGCATTAATAACCTCAAGCTAAATTTCACCCTTCGAACGTTTATATACTTTGTTAGTCACGTAATTACATGCAACGATATTGTTAGTTATATATTAAAGCTCTTATTTGAAAAAAAAAATCTAGAAAGACACGCATGTTTAATATTTGTGTGTCTTTCTAATTGTTTTATTAGTAATAGTGAAATGTATATTCCTAAGATTAACCTCAGTAACCAATTAAATTGATGTAGAAACAATTATTTGTGATCCAATGATAAAACAAGTTCAAAAAAAGTGATGACCCTTTTCTTATGAAACTTGGAAGCTTCTCTTCAATAATTTTGCCTTAGAAATTCTAAAATATTTTTGTAAAGATATATCACAACCAAATGGGGTACAAAATTTTCTAGCTATAAAAAGTACAATGATGAGAACCATTAAATATCAGATCTCTCAAAATTGATGGAAAAGGAAAACTGGGAGAAATACGTATAATAATTTCTCCCTCATCTATTATTTTTCTCTAGAGCCTGCGAATTGTAGCAAACGCCTTTATTACTAATTTTAAGAAAAAAACAAAGCAAAGGAAAAATTTAAAATCCTCCTTCCCCAAACAAAAAAGAGAAAAGAAAAAAAAAAAGCAGCAATTGGGGGCTTCAATGTAAAAGCCAAAGATTTGATTATGATAAAAACCAATCAATCTTCTTCTTTCAAGCTAACCACTCTGCATCCATTCCTTCAATTTCTTCAATGTCCATACTGTAACACAAGAATTTAAAATAAGAATATATATTGAGAGGATAGTAGTTTAGTGACATAATGAAAAACGAATATTCACTGGATAAATTACAATATACTTGAAAAAGAAAAAGAGCAGTTAACAAAAAGGTCAAAGATTTGATGATGATGATGATGATATAAGCAAACAATAAATAAATAAAAACAACATCAACTTCCTTCTTTTAGTTGGAGTATTAAATAAAAGAAATATAAAAATGCAATTTGGCTGCATGATTACTAACCGAAAATTCACAAGAGATAATTACAAATTCAATATTTTCCCACTGACCCAACCAAACCAAAAAAGAAAAAGCAAAAAGAAACAAAAAATAAAGGTGGGACCAATGGGTTGTCACTTTCATTTCTTCCACCGCTTGACGTGTCAATACTAGCAAAGACCCATACTTGTGTGTACTAATACTAACAAAACATGATGCTAGTGGGTGTTACATCAGTTTTTGCCAGGAAATTTTCAAGCCAATTAGAACATCTTGTTTAAAAATCTACTGATTATTGTTCTGAGCAAAAAGATTTAAGTATTATGGGATAAATCTGGAGGCGTTGGGTTATAATTTAGCGAAATCTGATGACTGGGCAACTCCAAAAATACTTGTACGCTTCTGCTATGTGCAGAACATTAGCTATACGCCTGTACCACAATAATTAAAGGGCTGCCTGCATTCATGCAGGGTTTGAAAAAAGGCCGGACCCGAAAAGTATATTATATAGGCAGTTTACCTTGAAACTTATTCTGTATCAGTAGCTGATTCAACGGTTCGAATTCATTACTCAATCCGTTTAAAAAAGATTGGCATAGTTCGGAGTACGAGGGTCAAAGTACTTAATTATGACTGTAAATTTGGACATAAATTCTTCAAGTTTTTAAAAATAAAATTTACATTTTCGCAAAACTACATAAAAAGTATTATAAGTCATAGTAATTCATAATTCAAAAATGCAGGGTTAAAGAAAAACCTCGTAGACTTCCCAAATAGTAATGGAACCTATCTTTTTAAAACGGAAGGAGTATATGATAAAAATTTACTCCCTTCCTCCGATGTTTACGTCAAACTAATGTACTTTAGTATGATTAAGCAATATTTGAGGTGAAAATACATATTAATACATTGTAATTAGGTGATTAAAGAGTGTGCGGAAGATGCAGGTCAAGATATTATTGGTGATGTAAACACGTAATACAAATAAAAAAATTTACCCAATATTATTTTGTATTTCGGCGGAAGGTCGTTTCCACGCAAGATTGGTAAAAAGATGAATAAAAAATAAATAAAGAGCATTCCGAGGTTGTACAGTAACATGACCTAGGAACAAAAAACATTTCCTATGTTTTAATTTTACTCGGTAAAAAGAGATAAAAATAGTAAAACAAGAAAATCAATGAAAAGAGTAAGAAATTGTTACCATGGTAAGGTAGGATCAGAATAGGTTTCATCAACCTGTTGTTGCAAGCAGCTTTCATTTGGATTCAACCAAGCAGGGAATTCCATAACTTCATCAAATGGATAACACCCATAATCCTCAGCAACATTACTCTCGTGATCAGGGTCAATTTCCATGGTTTTCAAGAACTTGTACCACCAAGCTGAAGTTGCCAAATTGAGGGTGTCATTCCACTCCATCTCATGCTGCTCCCCTATTGATCTGATCTCTGCCATTTCTTGGTCATCCATTGATGGATGCAACCCTGAATCTTCACAATTGATTGAATTCACCATCTGAATTGGAGCTCCTTCTTGTGATAATCCCATATAATGAAATTCATCTGAAGAAGATGAAGGGGATGATGATGAGTAGATTGAGGTGTTGTTGTTGCTACTACAATAAGGGGTTGCATCTAAATTGTTGAAATCATGAAAATTGAGATTCAAGCCTAATGTTTGGTTTGGAAGTGAAAAATTGAGATGGTCTTGTAAAGGTAATTGGGAACCAAAGGATGAAACATGGCAAGAATAAGGATATTGTGGAAGGCAATTAGGGAAGGTTGAATTGGGGAAATTCTCCATACTGTAACTTGGTAAGTTATTGTTTATAGTGTTGGAAGCATAAATCCTCGCATTTCTCCGGGATTTTTGCTTCCCTTGTTCTTCTCCTGAAGATTCTTGGGGCCAAGTCTGTAACGACTGTGGCCCTGTCTGAGATTGTTGTTGTTGTTGTTGTTTCATAGCGGCTCTATGAAACTTAAGGGCAGTGACAATCTCTCGCCGAGCCTCCGCCATATTTAGAAGTCTCTCTTGATAAGGCCTACTAGTGTGGAGTCTCCTCCGCACTTGTTTCTTTTTAAGCTGTGCTGGTTGTGGTGGTGGTGTTGGCTGTGATAATTGTTGTGTATCACCACACAAACTATCATCATTTTTTGTTGAATTCTCATCATTGTCTTTGGGATTTAAAGGATCTTTGGTACGTGAAGAAGTTAGTTGTTTGACTAGGTTTCTAATATAGGCACCAGAGAGATGAGGCTCTTGTTTTAGTTTATCAACCTTTTCTACTTCCATTATTCCTGCTGAGTTTCCTTTCTTTGGTGAAGATCTTCCCCTCATGTTTTACTCAATGGATTTGGGACAGGATTTTTGTTCTTTTATAGAAGGAAATGGAGAGGTCAAAATGGCAAGAAGGGTCGGTCTAAAGAAACATGTCATTCATTTTCTGAGAGCCAAAGTACACTATGCAGAGGAGAGGCAGAGGTTAGGAGGGTCTCTTGGGTTCTTATAAATAGCTGGAGACAGTCTAGGGTTTTTTAATTCTTTTGGAGTTTTCTCACTTTTGCAAATACATACCTATTTTTTCCCCATTTTTCTATTAACTTTTGTTACTTGTCTTGGGTAGTTAGGAAGAGTTACATAACAGATTTTACTCTACAAAATGATAGTTACAAGTGTAAGCACTTCTCTCCTTTTTAAATATAATAATCAAGTTAGAGGGGTATGAGACATAATGTCCCATCATAATTGGAGGATCAATTATAATAACATCAAGCATATAAAAAAGATGACCTATAAATAACTTAATTTGAGCATTGAGCCAAATAGATATGAGTCGAGCTAATCTAATGAACTTGCGATAGTCAATAGCACAATCAGGGATTTATGCAAGGAGATTCAAAAGAATGTTAGAAAATTACACTTGGGAATTCGAACTTATGATCAAAAGCAACTTTTGATCCTCTTTGTTAGTATTACATTAGAATATTATCTTATGTCAAGGGAATTTAATATTTACATATAATAAAAAATTCGTTATACGTATAATTTTTCGACATAGGAAATTCAATTCAACTCCCTTGGCTATACATAACTCCGCCATTGGCCTTAATAACAAGCAAAGTAGAGTCCAGGGTGAACCAAACCTTTGGCAGTACTAAAACAAGTCCAATCGAGCTAGTATGCCAGAGCATAATCGAACGAGCCCATTCTTTAATGTTTATTTCATATATGCAACTACGCCTTTAAAATAATCAAATGCACGATGAATTGAATGATTAAGAAAAGGTATAAAGATACTTTAAATTAATAATTAAATGCAACTGTGATTGGATTATGTGAACTATTAGTTTAAGTTAGAATCTAGAATCTATATCTTGAACCCGTCGGTCCTTTTTTCTTTTTTGGATAACTCAGTCTCATTCCATAACTAACATACAAAAATGGTGTCAAAAGTTATATACAAATTGACTGAGTGGCTCAACCACATCTATTCAAGTTGTCCTAGTCAAGTTTGAACCCCTTGGTTCTAAGCTTAATAACCCAAAAAGAGATGTCAAACTAGAAACAAAACACTTCATTCAAATCAAGCAATTTGACTGTCCGTTATACACGGTTAGAGAAAATCCAAAGTGTGAATAATGGACTTTCACAAGATACATGGACATTGATGACTTTAATAAGTCTATGGCATATGTTCATGTGATCTTTTTGGTTAGGTTGGGTAGTCTCATTATATATGGAGTCTTCAAATGATAAAACAACTAAAGAAAAACAGGAATTCAAAACAATTGGAAGAAAAATAGAAAAGGTAGTCCACTGGCCTGCATAATTAAGGCCTGCAAGGAAGACCTTCAATGCTAGAACGGCAATTCACAGCTGGTTTTATCACACATCTTATTACTTAACTACCGTCCACGAGATGTCACTAATAAGATCGACGAAAACAGAATGGACCTACAAATGTAATTGTTTAACAAGATATAGATGTACGAAACCCCAATTATGTGGCTAATTAAGTCATTCGGTTTCATGCACAGAAGGGCAAGGATAACTTCATGACATGGCCCTGACCCTTCTCAGGTCATCAATTTCAGAGATCAACCGCTACTGTTGTCATCAAATCCGTTTGGATCGGCTTATTTTAAGAGTTTTTAAGTCATTTTGTAGTGTTTGAATAGAGTAAAAAAGTGCTTTAAAGCACTTGTTTTTAATCCAAAATGACAAAAACAAGTCAAAAGCTAGAATTCCTAACTTATGGCTTAAAAACTATTTTGGCTTAAAAGTCACTTAAAATAAGCTCATCCAAACAGGCTCTATATAACCAGAAAAAATTATCCTAGAAAGTATTGTAAGCATCAAAGACTTTACTTTTCTATTTTGGTGCAATAGATAAAGATATTACACATAGAATCAAAATAAAGTGGTTGAGAAGTTGAGACAGAAAAGTGCTATCAAGGTATTACTTTAGAAATGTTATATGAGAGTAAATGTTGAGATGCTAAAAGTCCATCATATCCACACAAAAATCACCACCAATTAGTGCATATTAAGATATATTTGCAGTTGTACAAGATTAAACAAGCAAAAGTTACAAGTAGTATGCATAGAGTATAAAGTAAGAAGAGTTCACTAGAGATGGTTTCGACATGTCCAGCATTGACCTACAGACACATCGATCCATTAATGTGAAACCATGGTGAGTGAAAGTATCAAATAAGAACGAGGTAAACCTACAATTAATTAGAAGAAAATTGTCTCAAAAGACCGACAATCTTCTCGAACCGATGCACACCAAGTGAAGAAAATAATCTATATAGCTGAAACCAATAAGCTGGGAATATATTTTAGTAATGTTAGCATATTTACTTTAGATCTTATGTTTTCTAGTCGTCTAGGAGATTTTTATATCACTATAAGACATTTGGGCACTATGTTGAAGACTTAGCTGTTCTTTCTGGCTTTCGATTGATTGAACAAGAGGGCATATTAGGCAAATAATTTCTGATGGTTTTCAAGCAATTTGTCTGAAGGCTTGTAAGTTGGTACCCATGGGACCAGGATCAAAACGTCAGCAGAAGGCTACAGAAACTGACAGGAGAATCTCCATACTCTTGTAACCTCATTACTTTTGTATAAACAATTGTATGCGAGCATAATGAAATGCAAATAATATTTGTGTAATAAAATCCAATAATTTATGTTCAAATTGTTGACATGACTAGTGTCTGTTCTTAAAACAGAGAACTTGGACCTTTAGGAAAGGCAATTCACACACAGCCTGTTAAAGACAGAAATGCTCCATACCTCTCCCTTCCTTTTCTTTCTGTTTTCTTTCCTATATTGCTGCTTTTTCTCCCAAACAGTTTCTATTTAATTTCTAATGCCTACTTGGACCTGCCAATGGCATGGCTCCTGAGTCTTTTACAAGATTTGAGTAACACTAAAAATGGATTAGCTTGTAACCAACGGTAGATTGATTATATGATTAATTAAAGAAACATCAGAAGGAGTCCTAACTGAAGAAGAGTTAGATTGACAACCTTGGAAACTAAGATTTAAATTAGAGCAGAAGCAAAGAGTAGGTGAATTCAAACCGTCTATAAAGTTACTTGATACTTGTATTAGTGGAAGGGAACCTTGGCGTAACTAGTAAAGTTGTTGTCCGGCCCTTCCTGGACCGTGCGCATAGCGGGAGCTTAGTGCACCGGACTAAGCTTTGATACTTGTATTAGTGGAAGATAGCAGGTAGCAGGTATCCATAGATTAGTATGCGCACGTAAACTGACTCAAACACCAACGTCATCAAAGAAAATTAAAGGGCAGCCCGGTGCATAAAGCTTTCCCTGTTCATGCAGGATCCGAGGACGGGCACTCCGAAGAGGTGTTATGTAGGCAGCATATCCTGCTACAAGTATCATTACTTGATTCAACGGCTCGAACCCGTGACCTAGAGGCGGATCAAGGATTTAAACCCTATGGATTCACCTTTTAAAGTTTTTAGTATTGAACCCATTATATTTGTAAAGTTATGGGTTCATATTTATTATTTTTGCAATTTTAATAATTTTTTACATGTAAATTTTTACTCGACGTCAAAAGTTATGGGTTCAATTGGACCCATCTGTAATACGCTAGATCCGCCCTTGTCGTGACCTATCAGACAACTTAACCGTTGCTCCAAAGCTCCCCGCTCCCCTTCGTCATAAAAAAAAAATTTATATCAACTAATGTCTATCTAGTTTAAAACCTCACTACACAAAGCAATTCAGTCAACTATAAGCTTCAAATTAATCAAAAGTTGAAAACGTCAATTAATAATAAGTTCAATTAACTATTTGGAGTTGCACCCGACACCTTCTGTGTCTTCACGAGTATGACACTGTAGTGTACGTAGGAAGCAAATGCAGTAATCTGTCCCAAAAACATAGAATTTCATTTTTTTTTTAAAATGATATCAATGGGGAACTCTATTATATACATATTGGAACAAGTAAATTATGAGGTTTCACCAAAGTCTGAGCTTTAATTCAACATTTAATTCCAATATATGCTGAGGACTGTTCAATCCAGAAAAGGAATTACCTCTAAAACAGCTGGTAAAAGGTTCAAATATTTCCATTTTGCTATTTTTGTGTGTAATGTTTTTTCTGTCCTATGATCCAAACAAGTAAAGGATAACTGTGAAAGCTGTGTTATTGCTCAACCATCATTCACATGGAAATGTCCTATCATCACCAGGAGGGGAAAAAAAGGCTCTTAAAGGTATCCAACCTTTCACATAACTATGCAGGGTAAAGATGTCAGGCAATCAATTTTAGCAAATGGCAATAATATTCCATAAATCTAAGTAACAGAAAAAGGCTAAGCTTTCTCGCAAATGTTAATATAGGAATTGCAAGAGTTCTGTTTAGGATGACCATACTGTTGTCAATCTTTAAAAATATTACTCCCTCTTGCCAATTTAAAATGCCAGGCACCACTAAATTTCTATGAAACTTATACAATTTTCAAGAACTTAAATTCATTAAACTATACAAATTTTTACTTTTGATGTAAGATCTTCTCGAAGGAGATGCCGCTAATTCTCCTTCCTTAGGTGTCAAATGCGATTGATCCGGCGGAGTGGATAAAGAATTACATACACTTTGTATTTCTGCTTGTCTCGCCGATTGTCTAACTTTTCAGCCATCACTTTAGTATTTTCTTCCATAGTCACTAGCAGTGGCGTAGCCAGGAATTTCGTCAAGGATGTTCAAACTTTAAACAAATCAATATTTTTTTCTTGTCAATGAATGGTGTACCAAAATTTTTAGATCAAACTACACAACATTTTGCTAAACAATAAAAATAACTCTTAATAGAACGATAATTTAATAAATCAAAGTTAAAATAATAATGATAATATTAGAAATTTTACTAATAAAAACAAGCATAAAACCAAAGGAAAAAGAGAGTCGAGAGGATTTGTAGTTTGTAGAGAGCTTTCGTTGAAGAAATTTTTGTAGAACTTGACTTTTAAATTACTATAAAATTTTATTTAAAAAATAACTTTCAGGTACAAAATTACTTTTAAGATGACTTGTTTATTTCTATCACAAAGTTTAAGTTTTAAGAGTTATTTATTAGGAAATTTTTTAGATTGAAAAAGAATCAAATTAAATATACCATACGGTGGTTTTCGTTTAGTTTTGGCAAATAAAATGAGCAAAACTTTGAACTCGTAAACAACACGTTACTTTGAACACGCTAGACCACTGGACTACTTCATCAACTGTGTTAAGGGTGTTCAAAATATAACATATAATCATATAAAGTAGTATTTAACTTATAAACGCAGTATAATTTTTCGGCGAAGGTTGTGCGCTGGACCACCCTTGGCATAGGGTAGCTACGCCCACTGGGCGCCAGAACAATATGCTTGCATCAGTCACATACTTACATCAAAGTAGGCTTACATGAGGGTAGGTTACCTATATTACACCTCCTTGGGGTGCAGCCCAACATCCCTTCCTAAATTCTACAAAACACGGAATACTTCATGCGCCTGGCTGCCCTTAATTACCAGAACAATATGGATTTCATTAACACTTTAAACTCAATATCTTATCAAATGCCTTTATAAAAAGGTACAGAGTGTTTACCTTACAATTTCGAAAAGGAAAAAAAAAAAAAAGGGCGGTATAGAGTGTTATCTTCTTATGGGGACCAGATAGTGCAGCAAAATTGGCCTAAGGTAAATACACTGATGTCTGCTGTGTATAACATATATAATATACAAGCAATTCAACTATTTCACCGGGTAGGTAGACACCTTGATTATTCCATCTGAATCTCTCGCCAATACAAATACATAATTCTACTAAGACTTACTTCTTTTGGTCCACAATAAGTGACCAATTTACTTTTTTATTTTGGTCCAAAATAAGTATCCGTTTATATAATCAAGAAAGAATTCAATTTGTTTTTACAAAATTGCCCTTATGTACATATCCCTAAAAAGTTTTCTTACTCCTCACATTAAATATTTAATCAAGGGTAGTTTAGTCATACTAGATATTTTAGTATAGAATTTAGTATTTTCTTAATGGGCGTGCCAAAAATAAATTGGTCACTTATTCTGGACCGGAGGGAGTATACAAATAGCAGAAAATAATCCTAACATTTTGTGTTTCACTAAATTTGAGCCCTGATCTTACGTGATTTTCACCCTCTTTATTCAGCTACACCACACAGGTGCGGTAAAAAATTCCAATTAGTTTTGTAATATCGAAGAACTTTGGAAAGCAACTTTTATACAAAAAATGCACCTTCACTTTTATAAAATTGTTCGTCTCTGTCAACACTTCTACTAGGAAAAGTCAATGAACGTAAAAAATTTGAAAAACTTTGTCACGCCTCAGGTGAATAACTTAAATATCGCAACTTCGAGTCCCAAGATTACAAGAAACTCAAAAGATTGAACCCGTTTTGATATCAAAGCAAACGATTACACCCGTTTGATACCCATAAAAACATTAAAATGAGCATCTCATATTACGATATCAATACTTTAATTTCACCCCCAGATTTCTACACATCGAGACTTTTAGGTCCCAATAAAAAAGAAGGATCATTTAATATCAGTCCTTCATTATCCCCAAAACATATAGGAAGTAGAATTTCCCATAAAAACAATAGAACCCATTGGAAGACAAATTAAATATACATTTTCCACTCAACAAAAAACAAATTTAATATGCATTTATTGCCAAAACACGAATCCCATACCTTACCCACAGATTTCTACACAATGCGACATTGTATATTGTATGAATAGAATTAAAAGATTGATATAATTTGTAAGTTGGGATCGACTACATAATTTTTCTTAATGATATTGCTTCATTTAAACTTATCTCAAATTAAACAAATAAAAAGTATTAAAAGATTACTGGCAAACAAATCTATGACAAGACCAAATAGAAAATGTAAAAATATGACTACCACACATTCCTAACTAATTGATATTACCTAAATATATATATTTTTTCATTATACCACACTTTTTTCTTTTGATAGGCTAATATGGATTTCAAGAGTTTGTAGGTCCTCCGACGTAATTTTCTTTCATGTAATTATTGGTCGTCCTCATTAAATTTTAACAGTTTTATTCGCCATGATTTCACACCTATAAACCAGTGTATTTAGAGATTGACGTAGGACATGACAAAATCATCTGAAGCAACATTCTCTTAATTATATCCTTAATGTTTGCCACTTATAAAAAAAAATCATCCTCAATTTTTATTTTTATTTTGATAATTGTAGTGTTCGATCCAAGCTGCGCGCACCTAAACTAATTTCATGGGATACCTGCTACCTCCCACCAGCAAAAAATGCCAGATAATTCTACCTATCAATGCTTGCACATAGGGGAGAAATCAAACATTATTTTTTATCTCCGCTGGGATTTGAACTTGAGATTTCATGATCTCAATCCACATTATTGACTACTAGACCACACCTTTTGGGCGCAAGCCTTAATATTATTTACTTACACTTGCCTAATTTGATCATTTTAATATTCTTTAATCTTGCATGACCTCACATCATCTAGAACTCCGCTACATTCATCTTGTGAAAGTTGGACTTTAGCCCAACATTCACTCTCACATTAACATTATTGGTCTTTTATTATTTTATAATACTAACCTCTTACTTTGGTAGGTATTTATTCTATCACATAACGCCTCAATAACACTTCTCCATCTTGTGAAATGAAAACATAGATACATATCTAGAAATTCAATCTAGAAACTAATCTATAAGATCCACACCGACCAGAGTAAGTAACGAAAATGACATTTATAAAACAGAATCCAGCCTAGTTTACAGTCAAAAATTTTCAGACATAGAGCTTGCACTATCAGCCTTTATTTCTACCAAAAAAATACTATAATATTTGTTGGAGATATCTGTTATGCTGTGACAACAATTTATAATACACTCACTACTGGAAGAAAATAAGAAATTACCATTGTTGTTATTAAATCAATTGCTAATTTTACACCCTTACAAGGTGTTACTAGACATACGCCTGATTGGCCATAGATTATTCAGCGGCGCTGTGAGAACAAATACAGACATTTAAATATCATAATTAAGTAATACTTTTGGGACTGCAGACACAGAAATAAGTCTGGGAATTTGCATCAAGAAACACATATGTAGAAATCCCCATATTAAAATATAGAGATAGACAACAGCAGCAATAATTATATTAATAAATTAAATTAAAAGTAAGAAAGAGAATAGAGACCTGACTGCTGGGAAGTTGGGTGGAATTGTGGATAACATCAAAGGGGGGAAGGATGGAATTGGCTTCCTTTTTTCTTTCTCGATCTGATCTGATCTGATGAGGAGACCTGCTTCAGCCAATCATCTTCTTCCTCAGAAATTTGCCTCCCTCATCAGAGGGTTTTAACCAATGGGATTCTTCCACTAAATACATAAACAAAACCAACCTCTCTATCCGTTTTCTTTCGATTCCATTCACACCTTTGGCTAACAATGTCTTTGCTATTTTTCTCCCTCTTATCTTCTTATCCACTTAATCAAAGCTTAGCAGCAGAGGCACCGAGTAATCTTGTGAGAATTTATTACAGCTGATTTTTCTTTACTTGCTTATGGCTTGTCAACTCTTTTACTCTTTTCCCTTGTTTTTATTATAGGTGAAAAGTGTACGGACGCTTTAACGACACATAAATCCACACGCAAATTTTACTCTATTTGTCTTTTAAATAATTATATATATATATATATTATATTATATTATAATTATATAATTATATTTCTATTATATAGAAGAGACAAGAGGAGGTGGACCAAGGGCATTACGGTAATTTTATATAACTACATTGTTTGCTTGTACAATATGCTCAAAAGATTGATTTTGGATTTCTAATGACGGAAAAAACCTTCTTTAAAAATGCACTACTTAATTAATGTTACTCTTCAATTTATTTATAAGCAGACTACTTTTAATTTTTTTTTTCTTCCAATTAGTACTTTTAACTAAAAAAAAGTTATCTGTTTTGACTATTTTTTAACAAAAAAGTTGCAATAAATTACGTAAATTTTTGTTAAGGTGTTCTTATATTAGTATCAATTGATATCATTTTATACAAGTCCTCATTGAATTGCAATTGTAATTAGAATACTTTATAAAATTAGGAAAAAAATATTTAAGAATAAAATATAGTGTCATGTTCCTTTTTTATTATAGAATATGAATATTATTTTAATGGTATAAATATGATTCCCTCTATAAAACATTATTTAAGAATAATCCGAACAAAAGATTAAGACAACTAATTTGGGATTTTTGTTTTCTTTATTACATATTAGGCAGCATAAGAAGTATCATTATGCAGGATTATACATTTCGTTCTATGATTAAAGTTAGTTGGGTACTTACTCTATGTTAAATAAAGAATTCAAGATAATATAAATTTTAAAATACATAAATATTAAATTATCTAATTTTTTAAAAAAAACTTAACAAATAACTATGGTAAAGAAAGTTGTATTACACCCTAGAGTATCTTAATCATATAAAAATGAAACTAGAAAACAATTGCAATGCTTCAATTTAAGGTCAATTTGATTAGTCTTTAGAGTGATTAAAAAATTACTTTATTTTTAATAAATTATTCAGGTATGTCACTAAACTAGAATAAAATATAAATTTTCTTGTTAAATATTTATGAATAATTAAAAATTATATGATTATTATTTCAAAGAACCAAAAAAAAATCGTCAACTATTTGGAAATAAAATGAATATGTTTTATTATTCTAATTTTGATTAATATAAAAAGAAAAAATAATACATTAACACAATTGAAAATACAAAAGAGTAAAACTATATTCAATTCAAACAATGAAAAAATACATCATGACTTATTTTTCAATTGACTTTTCAATCATTTTTTATAATCAATTTTAAGTTTGGTGGTGCACAACTATTTTGTTTAAATAGATATGTGTAGAACCTATGTAGAAATGCTCTATCGGGGGTGTTCGTCGGTCGGTACGGTACGGTATTTAGATATTTCGGTTTGGTATTTGCAGTATTCGGTTTCTTAAAATGCTATACCAATACCGTACCTAATTAAATTCGGTACGGTGCGGTTTTCCTCCTTTCGGTTTCGGTTTATTCAGTTCGGTAACTTCGGTTTATTCGGTTGAATACTAACTAGTGCGTAGAGTCATAGACTGTAATACTTTAATTAAAGTACTCAAAAGTACAAAACTAAAAACGTTTGTTGACAAATATTTTGTCCAAAACAAAAAAATATTACCCAAGTGAGAAAACAATACATAAAGAAATAAATTTGATCATTAGAAATGCCTATTTTCTTTTTTCTTTCCCTAAAGACGAATAAAGTGTATAATTAGCAATAGACCAAGAAATATTAAAAGAAAGAAAATAAGAAAAGAGAGCAACAATTGGGTATGTGCCTCGCACAGTTATGTCATCTAGTATATATACTAAAAAATACTGTCTATCATCACTTGGGCAGGTAAAAGAATCTCCGCCCTGTATTTTATATGAGTTACTCTTTTAGTTTGTTTCAAAATTTCTCATTTTATCTTTTATACTATACTTAGACCACTAACGCCTTATTTGCTTGCACTTAATGCAAATTTAAATTTTAATTGTTCAGATCTCAATCATTAAATATTTTTTTGTTTTTAGATTTTAGTTTTAATCATTCTAATCTTAATCGTCAAGTCTATTTGATTTTTTTAACTTTACAACCACTTAATGGGTAGGAATAGATCATAATGATTAAGATCTATAATAATCTTAATATCATTAAAATATTATATATACAAGAATTTATGTAAATATAATATTTTACTATTACTCTTACACTTTCACCACTAATCATCATCACCACTATTATTGTTGTCCCCCGCCATTATAAACTACCATCAACCACTATCAATCATCCATTACCACCATACTCAACTACAACCACCACTAGTGTCAACAACTCATAGGTCAATTAAGCATAAAATTTTGGAACTTCATGGGTAAGGATAAGGTAATGGAATTTATAGAGAAATTTATAGACCTAAATAGGATAGGAGAATTGATAAGGGGAATAGAGATGTCATTTGTCATTACCACTAGCTATCATTTATAACCATCACTACCAACCGCCATTACTGCAACAATCATCGATCACCATTTTATATCACTCTACTGCATATTATTATTTCCAGCCACTACCATATCGCTACTAGAAGCACTACCACTAACCCATTGTCGTCGTTGCAAGTCACTGTGTATTACGTTGTCACAGGGGTGATTTATATCACTCGAATTCTGCCCGAGGTTCACCTCCATGCGGCAGTCAAGCCCGGCCTTGACTTCAACCTTTCCAACACTTAGTTTTATTTTAGGAACGTTTTGAACTTAGAATGAAATTAAAGCAAAATAGTAAATAAAGGCACACACGATATACAGAAATTTCTTTCCAACTCGTATTAATATGTGAATACAAGAACACAATAGCCAACCCTATGGCCAAGACAAAGAATTCCCCAATTCCCTATCCCAAAATGATTTCCCACCCTTAGGAAATGACTTAGACGATTTTGGCTTCACATTGCCTTAGAGTAAGTTTCTGCCCCATTTTGGACAGCCTTGGCAAGTATTTATAAGACTACAATCAGTTGACAAGCCCCAACTGATGGGAAAACAAGTTAAGACAAGTACAAAAACGTGCCCCCATTTTTAGGCCATGATCAGCATGTCTTGGAAGAGGTTGCAACCGCCAACTGCCTCCCATGTGCTTTGCACATGTTTTTTCAAATGCTGCTTGTGCACAACATGTGCCTATTTCGCCCAGCTGCCTTGTGCCCAAGGCTGGCATTGCGCCCAGCCTTGTCCTTGACACTGCTCCGCACCCATGTCATGGCCCCAGCTCGCCAACCACTGACTTAGCCGCACACGTTCATTGCCACAATTGCCCGCTTATGTCAAGTCGCCCCCAACTTGATTAAATCTGCCCGCATCAATTGTCATTGCTTGTCCCGCATTGCATTGCCTTTCCTTGCCATGTCTTTGCCCCTGCTTTGACATGGCTTTGCCTTGCCATTATTTTGCCAACCCGCACGTCCAAGTGAAATGCGCCTTGCTTCCGTTCAAGGTGCATTTGTCAAATCCCGCATAGTCCGTCATGCCGAGCAGCCCTTCATGATGTTGCCCAATTTTTCAGGTTGTGTGCCAAGGCCATCATGAAAATCCTTGTCACAATCCACACCTGCCGAGGACCTTTGTCAAGGGGCTAATAAACCACCCCACCAGAAGAATTCGTCGTCCTCGATGAAGCAACTTCCGCATTTTTCAGAACAACCATAGGTCCCAAATATGTTGTTGTTTGCTCATGTTCTTCCTCGTTTGACTCATCTTCAATCTTTTATTCAGCAAACAAAGCTGAAAGCCGTTCAATTCTTGGACAGTCCCTCGCCATGTGTGGTCCTTTGCAAATAAAACAGCCATCAAACTTGTTGTTTTGTCCCTTGTTTGTCGAAGGTCCAGCACATTGCTTTCCCTTTTCATTGCCATTGCCCTCAACAGCATTGCCCTTGTCGTTTCCGTTTTTCCTCCACTCTTTTGCCTTGTCCTTGTTCCCATTTTTGGACTTTGAAGTAGTAGAAAAATCAGAACCATCTTGTCCCAACCGGAAATCACCCAACGCATCCGCAGCAGCGATGGCACTAGGAAGGTCTTTCACATTCTGCCTTCGTAGTTCCATCAGCGCCCACGATTGCAACCCGTAAAGGAAATTATGCAGCTTGTCTTCCTCAGACATGTTGCTTATATCCAACATCAGTGAACTGAATTCTTTGACATACTCCCTGATCGTTCCAGTTTGTTTCAACTTCTTCAAACGATCTCTAGCAATCCAGCCCGCATTGCTAGGAAAGAATTGATCCTTCAACTCTTTCTTCAGCCCTTCCCAAGAGTCAATCTTCGGCCTACCAGCACTTACATCATCTGCCACGCGCGTCCGCCACCAAAGCTTCGCATCGTCCACCAAGTACATAGTCGTAATGGTGACCTTGTCTTCATCTTACACTTTGGCAGCATGAAAGTACTGCTCCATATCTCACAGGAAGTTTTCGAGTTTCTTTGCACTCCTTGCGCCATTAAACTCCTTAGGCTCCGAAATTCTGACTTTGGTACGATCTGCCCCACACTGTGCTTCATCATTTCCAACAGCACGACGCAGCAACCCATTTTCCGTTTTCAGATCTGTGCACTCCTGGCTCAACCTGTTCATCTCGCCCTCAAGATAGGCGAGACGAGTCATGATAGTCAGAAATTGATCCCCATCAACAGTTCCGACGAGTGCCTCTAATGCAACAACCTTTTCCTTCAGTTCTGCGTTGCCACCAGCCATTCTTCACAAAATTCAGCCACTGAACGTTGTGTCTTCACCCCGATCCAGCCACGCTTTGATACCAGTTGTCATAGGGGTGATCTATGTCACTCGAATTCTGCCCAAGGTTCACCTCCGTGCGGCAGTCAAGCCCAGCTTTAACTTCAGCCTTTCCGACACTTAGTTTTATTTTTGGGGACGTTTTGAACTTAGAATGAAATTAGGCAGCAAAACAGTAAATAAAGGCACACACGAT